GGGTGGGGGGTTCCCGGGTAGTGGTACGTAGTAGTGACTTGGATATATACGATGAAGTAATAACATAGCCTATATCTACATGTTGGTGGGCGGGGCGGGGGGTTCCCGGGTAGTGACACGTACTAGTGACTTGGACACCTGTATACGATTAGGTGATGACATAGCCTACATGTCGGTGGGCGGGGGGAGGGTCCGGGGTAGTAACTTTACATGTAGTAGTGACTTGGATATATACGATGAAGTAATAACATAGCCTAGATCTACAAGTTGGTGGGCGGGGGGGGGGGTTCCCGGGTAGTAACATGTACATATAGTAGTGACTTGGTACGATGAAGTAATAACATAGCCTAGATTTACATGTTGGTGGGAGGAAAATGTAAGCCCTTGGCAAAAGTCGGTGAGGGTGGTTGGTCAACGCCACTGGTATGTCCTACTTTTTTTCTTTCCCTCTGTAGTTTCTGTCCGTCTGTTTTGCTTCTTCCCTGTCTTCCCTGCACTATATGACCATTATTATGAATCTTTTCACTCAAACTCTCCAAACACAAAGGCACACGCTGGCTATAAAAATGTCGGCGAGCACGAGCTAGTGGGACAGTAGAAACCACGCACAGCACACAGCTGGACACAAGTGCCACAGTCTCCACTGGTACGTGCCAGTACATCTAACCACAACACGTACATCAACATTTGTTTTTAAAATAGTGAAATGGTATGAGTTTAACGTCCCTATCAACTCAACACACACTGCTGGACACACACACACACACACACACACACACACACACACACACACACATACACACATACACACACACACACACACACACACACACACACAAGAAACCAGTCCTCCCACAACTGGGCAGAGAGACAGAGACAATGAGACTAGAGCACTTAGTGAAATCATTGAGAGGAATGTTGAAGACCAACCAACAGCAGTAACAGGCTTCTATATGCATACTCCCTCGGCGTCATCCGACTATCGCCCAAATCAATTTCTAGGATTTTTTCCCCGAATGTAATGCTGTATACATCCCATCAACACAATTTGTATCATTTAGGAAGAGGGCTTCGACCCTGCCTGTCAGGGCCAACCAGGACTAAAAGGGATACGAAATCCCAGCAGAAAGACTGAGATACTCGATAAAGAGTCCCCACTCGGGAATCGAACTCGGGTCTTCAGCGTAACACAGCGAAGCGCCTAGCTGCGACACCAAAGACATCGATATTT